TGATCTAATTGTTTTTGATAAAAATAATAATTTTAACCCCAATATTAATTTTTATCTTGATTACTTAAACCTAGTTACAATTAATAATAATCCAGTTAAAACTTATTACTTGGATGTATCATTGTACATTAAAGATTATAAATTGCATAGTAATATTTATGATATGCTTTTAGTTTTACCATTCTTAAAGTGCCGTACTGGAATTCGAACTTATCAACCTCTATAAACAGAAAAATTATTTTTAATATATTTATCCTAATAATGTATTAGTTAGCAATAAATATAATATATATTTAAATTTTAATAACTTTATTAACCAATGTAATGAACATTGATATTCTGCTAACTTTCTTTACAATTATATTTCTGATAGTTCTCAGTGAAATGACAATATGTAATAATAGCATTTTTAATCAGTTACACAGTTATTCAATAGATGTTTAATAAATTAATAGTATTATATTTAATTTAAATATTCTTGTATATGTTTGTGAAGTTTTTTTATTTTCTATAAAATTTTACATGAATATTTAAGGTTTTTTAAATGTATATAAGTAGATTTTTATAGTTATTTTATCATAATTCACAAATTTTAATTTATGCGGTACTACAATTTTCCTTTTGTACCAAGCGGGAAACATAATTTGTTGCTGTACTCATGAAGTAAGTCCTACCATCTACTTTATTGCATCGACTTTTAATCTATAAGAGTAAATACTAGTAGGCTATAATTTTATAGTTATATTTTAATAGTATAGCGTATTTTATTTGTAATATTTAAATTTCTCCTAATATTATTCCTTCCTATCCCTATGGCTCAGTAGTATAGGCAAATTACAGGTGAAGGTTGGTTAGCCCTAAAAACTTTGTTTAAATCTACAGTCTTGATTCCTAAGGCCAGGAGTTTGCTATTGTACTATTATGGCTAATATTTCCTACTATCTTGACTAGTTATACTTAGGTTTTATAGCTATTTGTATATATTCATATATGCGTGTGCGTGTGTCATCATTTATTCATATTTTTCCAATGGGGCTGCCTGCAGATTGGTATATTTTATCATTGCAGATCTAATATATTTCTTGGGAGAGTGTATCACTTTTCAGTGCAGCACCATGATGTTGATGGTATACCAATTGGCGCAAATAATTTTGGCAGCCACTTTCCTCCCCAAAGAGACACCTAAGCTCTGACGATGTGAACTGTACTAGAAATTTAATTTTTCCGAAAACACCCAAACCAAACAGGTACTTTAGGGACCTTTAACATGCCGTATAATTAGACGACATGGACGATGTCGCTTTTCTGCCTCAGAAAAATCTACCGACTTAAGGGCGGGGTCGAACCCGTAACCTTAGACGTGCAAGGACAGTCATATATATATATATATATATATATATATATATAGTATAATAAAATAAAAAAAAAAAAGACACACAAATTATAATTCCTACAAGCTAAGAATGAATGAAATTGGATTTTAAAAACATATCAAAACTCGCCAAAATATAAGTAAAATAAATGGTTCAAAAGAATATCATTGGATAATAACAGAAAATATAAGAATCAGAGGTGTAAAGCTATTGAAATTGAAAATACCGAAAGAGTCTTTGAACTAAAATGGAGACCTATTATGATTTCTAAAGCTGTCTCTGAATTAAACCAGTCAATTAGGGTTAAGCAATACGTTATGGATCCACCTTCTCTGTACAGCAGTGCTTCTCAAACTTTCAACAGTGGCGACCCACTTTTCAATCATAATTTTTATCGCGCCCCCCTTATACAATAATAATGTATTGAATGCAATCATAGTGCACTTTGACGTGACCTTAATAAAGGACTCAAATCACAGACACTTTTCAGTAACATTATAGGAATGTTATTTGCAGGCAAAACTGTCATATTTTGTTCAAGTTTTTTGTAGTTTTATTGTCCTTTGATGATCGACAGATTGCATGTTGAACTTTTGCTTGTGCTAGTATGTTTTTGACGTGTCGAAGTGTGCTTTCTAGGACTCTCATGGCTTCATATTTTAGTTAGTGGAGTTCTTTAGGTAGCATTTAAAAATTTTCCTTTCGTTTCATGTGTTCATCGCTTTTCTCAAATTCACTTCCGCTATCATGATTATTATGCATTATTTCAGCAGGTTCTTCCCTTGTTTGATCAGTTTCAATTTCCTTCAATAGAGATCACAGATGCCCATTTCTTTTTTTTTAATATTCTGCTCATTTTCATTTATAAACCACTATAAGTCGTACAGCAAAGCAATCAAAATCATTGTTATTCATAGGGGGAAAATGTAGCATGACCATAGAAAATATTTAGGAAAAAAAAGTTGTCGCGCCGGAAACTCAGTCAAAACAAGTACCGTAAGATTTATAAATAAAAAACGCTTACCACTCCTAAAAAAGATGGAAATATATGACAAATATATTATAGCTCCCATGAAGACTGTCATACATGAGGATAGTGTCAGTGCCATTGGTAATAAACAGTTTTGCCAGAATTACTCCGTGAACTCTGTGCCCCGCATAAACCGAAAGGTATTCAATATAATTATATGGTTACTAGTTCTAAAACAAATTGTGTAAAACGTATATTTCATTATGCTTTATATTTGTTGGGAATACTCATAAAAATAAATCTTTTGGCCAAGTAATCCTTCAAAGTGCTCTCTGTGCTTTTCCAAATGTAATAAAACTCTTTTACATGGGAAACAGCTCAACAGAATACATTATTTACAACTTCCCTAAAACAAAAAACAAAAAAAAAAAAAAACATCAGAGAGGAGTTGGAACTAACGGTACCATAAGTTCGAAGGTCAGCAAATATATTCTGCTGCCTACAGCTAATGTATAGTATTTCACAAAAATAATAACAGTGATTATTTTTTTATCTTTCTAAAAAATTTTTGATTCTGCGTCTGAAATTTGTTTTTTCTCTGGAAGAGTAGTATTTAAGGTTTAAAAACAAAACGCAATAAAAAATCTCTCATCGTGGGATTATAGCAAATCAAACAAAATGTACTTTTTTATTTGGTTATGGGGTCAAAGATAGCTAATGAGATATTGAAAAAGAAGCTTTTATGTTTGATGACGTATATCGCCAGATAATATATATAAATTGTATCAGTGTAAATGAGTATTTTTTATAATGTCAGAAGGCATTTTGTTTTACTTCATTCCAGTAAATTATTTTTAAAAAAAAAAAACTTTTATATTCGATATGCTCGCGCCCCCAACCAGGGGGGCGCGCCCCACAGTTTGAGAAATGCTGTTGTTCAGCAGAAATTTTTGACATAATAGAAAAAACAGTTCTACATTGAAAATTAGGCCTATATCTATCTACACGTTGGGAGGAACTCAAGACAGTAAAATAAAATGAAATGAATGCATGAATAAGGAAAATAAAAAGGTTTCTCATATAGAGATAAATATAAAGAGAAAATTTCATAAACAACTAACATGAAAAACCAAGATAATAATTTAAGACGAAGAAGAAGAAGGCAAATTAAGAATTTAAGACGAAGCATCTTGTGGTCGGAAATATATAAATAATTACTTCAGAAGTGTGATATTTCATTTTATTTTTATAATATTTAACACTCGCGATGCATGCATGAGTTGGTACGTATATAAACGACTTTTTAATCTAGTCATGCCCGACAATTTACTTTATGAAAAACGCATTAACCATGCCAACATTGTTTTAGTGTTGTATGGAGAGAGAGAGAGAGAGAGAGAGAAATCTATTTAAAATTTACAGAATTTAAATCTATATTTACACAGAATTTAATTCTAAATTCAGAGCATATGGAATTTATACGTGAACTTATTAAAAGATAGAATGAGCGCAAAAGTAGTATACGATTAGTTTAAAAAATAGTCAACGGAAATAAATAAATAAGACAAAATACATCCACATAAACTTAATTTATTTTCTAATCAACTCAGATTAAATGCAAAATTTTAGTATTTGTACAATGGATTACAAAGGACTAAAATAAGACAATATATTATTTAGTTCAGGGAATTTAAAGAAATTCCGAAAAGTTTGAAAAACATGTGAAAAGTAACTCACGTGTTCCAAGTATGATTGTAAGCGCAGCGTTATCATCTTCAAGATTGGATGTTAAAATTTTCTAGTTGCTTCAGAAAGGAAATGAAAATAGAGAGAATGGTTTTCAGCTTACGCAATGTTCTTAATTGATTGATCACTTTATTGTCTAATGTATAGTACTTGGACTTAGTGAAAGTTATGTACTCTTTAATTCACAAGTAAAATACATTAATTCTTTAAAAAAAGTTCCTTAAGGTATCTGACTACCCTAAAATTGTGAATTTTACCAAAAATCGACACATTTTTTTTATTTTATTCAATTCTTACTATTAGTTCACTCTCTCCCAATATATATATATATATATATATATATATATATATATATATCTTGTTCACATTTTCAATTGTTAATAAAATACGTTCTATTCATCCAATCAAGTTCAAATAAATTTTTTAAACTTGTATTGGATGACACTTGATGTTGATACAGTTTTTTCAAATATTAATTCATTAATTAAATTAAATTAATTACCGTTTATCGAAGCCACTTAGATTTGTCTTCATTGTTGTAACAAAGTAACTGTTTAAACAATCGAAAACGGGGTTTTCAGCCAAATTAGCCAAACCGGGTGTGCATTATTACAATAATGCAGACATATCATGCATGATCTTTTTTCAATTCCTACTATTAGTTCACTCTCTCTATATATATATACATCTTGTGTTCAAATTTTCAAATAATGAAATACTTTTTATTCATCCATTCAAAGTAGGAATTGACTTAAACTTTTTTTACATTACTTGTTAAACTTTTAGTGGATGACATTTGATGTTAATACAGTTTCTTCAAATATTAATTAATTAATTAAATTAAAAAATGAATAAATAGTAACAAAAATAATACTTCAAGAGCATATACAGAAAGAAAAATCGTTTGTTGTGTCCCTGTAGCGTTATGAATAGCGCGTTGGACTCCTAATCCAAAGGTCGTGGGTTCGAATCCCGCCTGGGATGGCCTAGTTTCTGAGAATGGGTGTTTTCTTTTTTTACTATACTATTTTATTAGAATAATTAAATTTAATTAATAAATAAATAGTAGTACACAAACAAAAATTAGCCCAACACCATATATAGAAGAGAAAATGGAAAATTGCAAGGAAAATCGCTTTCTGTTTTGTCACTTAATATTGTGACTCTGTCATATTTATATACATATTTATATTAATTGTAACTACTGTTGTAACTCTATATAACGAAGTTGCTAAATCCCCCCAAAAAGCTAGTTTTATGGAAAATTCGTACATAGAGGTTCATTTTTCAATTTAGTTTATAAACCTCATAAAGTAAATTTAAAATTCATAAAAACTATTCATCAAAAAAAGGAATTATTCACACTTTTTTTTAAAATTAAAATATGCTTATTTTATATATCTTGAACATAAAAAAAAATGAAAGAAAGAACAACTAAAAGGAAAACAAGAAAAAAGAATATCGAAGAATACACTGTTTTTTCAATATTAAGAAAATAATTTTATATTAAAATCAATGAATTTTAAGGACATTTTCTAATTTAAAGCATACAAGTAACATTAAACATACATTATTTTACTACTAGAACACGGAGATTGAAGACAACTCGACTGAGGGTGAAAGGGGATACCGAAGATGTTTCTAGTTATTGTGTTCCGATTTACTGACCGGGCCACAAAAGTGCTCGCTGTGGACCACATGCGACCGACGGGCCGTGAGTTTGACACCCCTGTCCTAAGCGCATGCTCGTGTTAATTTTAAATGAAACTTTTATTTATCTGAAAAAACACAAATCACACGTACTTTGTGTGTTCCTCATTTTAATCCATAAAATCCCTTCATCTATGTTTAACTGGTTTATGAATTATATTTGCAGTGTATGCAATTTACTTTACTTTCATTTAATTAATAGTATGGAACTGCTCTTATTTTCCTAGAGTTTTCAAACACCTCCTGGAAATATTTTGAGACTCGCGGAGGTTGATTTTCTTGTATCATTTTAATTGTGTTCTTTCCATCATGAAGTGGTATGTTCCCATCCATAATATAATGTTTACTTGGGACATATAAAAACCGTTTCATTTCGTAATTTATCTTAAATTTTGAATCTCTTGCACAGATTTATCATTATACCACACACACACATTCTTTACATTTTTTATCTAATTAACTTTATATACCTTTTAATTCTAAATAAAAGCGTTTTTAAAATGTAAGGGAAATATTCAGTCATTTCTCTAGTGAAGTTTTTCGATGAAAGGCACGTGGTATAATGAGAAAATTCAAAGAATGGGTGCGAGCTCAGGTGCTGTCCTCGTTACTTAACCTTAGCGAAAAAAAATTGCGGATCTGTCTGCGATAACCTTTATGTTACTTTAAAGTGTGACGGTAAATAATTAGTCAATCAGTCAATGAAAGGCACATCATTGGTTTCAGTTTTATATTTAAAAAATATTGCTGCTAAATTGTAACTACAATATTTCATATAAAAACAAATAAAAATTTTCATTTAAAAATTTTAAATTATAAGGGTTGCAGTCACTTCGTGATAAAGTTATAAATGTAAATTTTGATTTTAATAAAGAGAAGAATAATAGGGATTTTTGCATTCTATATGTAAACCGACATCTGTACGACGTGCCGTGGAAGCCTCGAGAATGATATATCCACTGATGTCTTTCCTTGAAATTTGCATTATTATAACACAGTTCACAATCAGATTAGCGTTATCTTGTTGAAAGATAACGTTCTCCAAGGCTTTGAAGATAGGGCACAGTCTTAAGTTCTCAGAAACGTAACGGTGCCTGTTCAGATTACCGACGACGCGAACAAAAGATGTTCATGTCGTATACTCAGTGGCGGTCGACACCATTACACTTGGTGTAGGGTCCGTATGACGATATCAAATGTAAGCAGAGTACACTTACATTCTCCTCAGAGCCTGCAGATACAGGTAGTCAATCAAGATACTGCACGCAGATCCGGGACTCGTCCAAAAAGCCGACGTGGTGCCACTCCCATATCTAATTTTGTCATTGGGTGCACCATTGTCACGTGCTTCTTTATGATGCAGTGTCAAGGAAAGCTGCAATTATGATCCTTGTACAAACAGTCCAAGCTGCTCCAGACGTCATCGAGCGTGAGTACTTATCATGTTGGAAACAAACTCATTCCTGACTCAAGGTCCTTGATACGGTTTTATGATCACGCAAGGCAGACATGACAACATGCCTGTCCACTCGGGTGTTAGCAGTGCATGGTGTTCAGTTTGATCCTCTTAAATCCATCGATTCCATACTCTCATGATATTTGTTGAATTCCAACGAATGCGAGCAGCAATGCCATGGACCACAAACCTCACTCTCGATGGGCCACAATCCTGCTGGTATTTAATTCTGATACGTTATGGTAGCCATTTTTCCTTCGTACATTAGGCAAACACTATCTTCTCACAATCAATAACTTTAAAATGTGATTTTTGAAATCCGTTGAGTAATTTTCCTTTTATGTAGGGTATGATATGTCGTTTCTCTCTTCAGTGTCTTTCGATTGCACTTAAATGCAAATAATTTGCATAACTCAGCATCTTTTTTCCAATCACGTTTGTATCATCCCAACTTCATGGTGTAGCACTTTTAATGGCTAGAGGTGTATATTGAGATATTTTTCTTTGTACTGTATCACTGTGATGTCTACTACATACCTATATTTTTACTAAGCATTGTTTTACTATCTAAAGTAAAACCACTAAAAATCTTTAAAAATCTAACCTGAAATGCAACACCATGATAGAAGTATTCAAACCGTGTGAAAATTTAAACAAGCGCTTACCATGATGGGATATGTAAATGAATAGCTTATCAGCACATATTCATCACCATAGGCACCTGTAGCGCCATAACTAGCGCTACATAAAGAATGCTGCTTTGAAGTACTGTAATTACTTTTTCGTGCAATTGTTTTGCATTAAAAGATTCAGTATATCTCGCGAAGAATGCGTTCGTGATTCGAGCATGTTTCTAAATTCAATCGAAAAGGAGTTGTTGCCTGTAGAGAAGGTGAATTATCCCTCCGAGAAATCGGTGATCGTATCAGACTTAACAAAGCAACAGTGGTGCAGATCTCTAATTGATGGATGCAAAAAGGAATAACTGACTAATAGCACTGATTACACCAACCTCATCACACCACTTCATGTGATGACAGGCATACTGTGCGCATGGTACTTATGGGTCGCTCTTTTTTTATTGGATATGGGTATTATACAACAGGAAACGGGGTTTGTTGTACAACAATCGCTGTCCACACGTACCATTCAACATTGTTTGCAGCGCAGTAAAATGTCTTCAAGTTGTTCCTTTCCGCATTTATCTTTGCCTCCAAACCACATGCGTTTGTGGTTGCAATGGTGCATTGAACAGAGGGCATGGATAACCGAATGGTATTACATTGCCTTAACAGACAAATTACCTTTCTACATACGATGATCAGATTAGAGTATGGAGACATCATGGAGAGAGGTTTAATTGTTACCTTATATCTAATTGTTACTGGTTCTACATCCGGTATTTGGGTTTCAAGTGATATTGGATTCCACTTCCCACCTAGTTGGAGTTTCCAATACAAGGACCAACCAGTGCTTTATCTCTGAAGTTTTTGAGAATATTGTCAACTCTTACTCCTTCAGAATTTTCCTGAAGTCACATTCCAACAGGAACAATAAGCTACCACAAATGCCATGCAAGATTCAAGACCTCTTCGTCCACCAGATTTCACTGCTACTTTGATCTGCCCGTTTCGATCTATCACTTATTGAGCAAGTCTAATAGATAATTAGTGAATTACTGGCCTGGGAAACATCACCCATTGCTACACCAGATCAATTTTGGCAACGTGTGGTGGGAGCACGGGCTTCCATATAACAAGATATCAAAATTCTCATTTATTCAATTCTCAGGCGTGTAGTAGCGGTTTTGCCAGCTGTGGCCGCAACACTCAATACTGTGATTTCATCGTCTTCTCACTTCAAAGAATTAATTTTCAATTATTTTTGCTTTTTACCATGTATTATCCCTTTAAGTTTGGTTTTGAATCTGTTGTCCTTTTCAATGTTGCATTTTGAATTGTTAGCAAAGTATTTTCGTATGTTGAAACTAAATAAAACTATAAATTCAGTATTTATTGAAGTTTCAGGTGGAAGGAGCATGTTATTCTTACGAACGACAATAACATTCTAAGCGAAATACTTTTGGCTAGACCATCTAATACTAAAAGGGAAAGATCTCAACAATGGATAAACGTAGTAGAGATAGATTGTTTGGTCTTTAATACTTAGAATTGGAGAGCCAGTAGAGATGGTTGGAAAGGTCTGGCTTAGGAGAGGTCTTGACCCATCCTGAGTTGTCACATAACGAATATTAATAATGATGATGATTAAAGTTTATAATTACGCTAACTCCAAATTATAAGCAAATGTAAAACATAAGGGTTAGGATGAAAAGCCCTGCTTAACAGAAATTCACGAAACAAAAGTCTAGTGATTAAACAGAAAATTGATTAAAATATTAGGCAAATAAATGCTTACTTCAATTAGAAATAATAATACTTAAATATCACTTACTGTACCTTTGGCATCTCGTTAAAGTATGCACGTACAAAGTATGTAATTGTTTATTCAACATGAAACACTGGTTCTTGTTTTGATTTTAACAACTGTCGTTGCCAATGTTGAATCCCTAGATAATGAAACCACTCTTCTTCCACGAAGTTCTCTAAAAATTGAGATATCTACTGCTCTGTGATTCAATTTATCTGAAGATGAGTTAAGTTCCTTGTTATAAAACTTAAAATTATGTTTTTCATATACATAAAAAAAATTTAGTTAAATTCAATACATATATATTAAAGTAAATGGGAAAACACGAGAACAATCCCCATATGGGATTGTCATATCTCATGAGAAATATTTTCTTATCTTTGTAATT